AATGAAGAATACAAAGGTGTACTTAAAGCAAATTCAAAACATATGAACAAACTAGTAAATGCTTCTACGTTTCTTGTTTAGATTTACTCTTGACTATGATACTTTTAAGCCTCACTCTAAATAGACTTTATAGTCTACATCATCTAGGCTCTAGAATCTGATCAAGATTTACTTCATCTCTTATATGAAGCCTTTATTTATGACGAGAAGTATATTCAAGGAAAGTAAAATTAAAAAGGGATTTCCTTAAAAGGACGGACATGTCATATCTTCAAGGACTGTACTATCAACAATTAGCATATATTTTCTATCCACTCCCCGTGATTTGTGACGACATTATACTATTTGTACAATAGTGGAATTAATATAATATTCATATTCTACCCTCCAACTGATCTATTTATCTCCTATATATTTAGAGGAAGAAGGATATGGAAAAAGTTTGAGTCTTCGCCTACGTCAAAGCTACAACACCACAACAACAACAACAACAACAACAAAAAATAGAGAAACACTTAGAGATTTCATTGCATATCATTTTAAGTGTATTCATTTGATCTTTATTTTGTGTGTACACTGCTTAGTAAGAAGCACTCTTGTAAACATAATCAATTTTATTAACTATTGTTAATATCCTTGAGAGACTAAGTTTAGTCAAAATTCTCATGAAGTCATTGACGGTTAGTTTTGAGTTGTTTTCCTTGAAAGACTAAGGTTTAGTTATAATTTATCAAGAAGTCTTAGAGAGTTGGTCTTTGAGTGGTATAATCAGTTTGATTATTGGATTAAGTCCTTTTTGAAGGCAAAATCACTCAGGTGGTCAAAATGAAAGTAGCTTTGTTAACAGCAAATCAGGATAAAAATATTTGTGTTCATATCTTTATCATTATTTTTGTGGTTTTATTCATTGAGTGGAAAAAACTTTAAATTCATAAACTAAATTCAAACCCACCATTCTTGTGTTTCTTCCACCTTCAATCGGGAGTTCGGATAATAGTTCAAATAGAAGAATTGCATTTGTGAAAATGATATGCAAAAGAAGTGGGAAGTATAAACTCTTCTTCGAAAATTCAAATGAGATGACATCAGTTCAAGAAAATGTGAGTGTCCATTTAAGATGTTGGGTTATCTTTTATCATATAACAAATGGAGATTTAATGTGATATGTGGTTTACATAACCATGACGTGTGTGAAATATTATCTTGGCATCCGATTGCATGTTGCCTCATGTCGGAAGAGAAGGAAATCGTTTCAAACATGACATTAAATATGGTGCAACCCAAAAGCATTCTTACAACTTTGAAACGTAAATATCTCAAAAATCAAGCAAGTATATAATATTCGTGTCTGTAACAACAAGGCGTTGAAGGGGGGGGGGGGGGGGGGGTAGAATTGAAATGCAACAATTTTTTAAACTTATGGATGATAACAATTATGTATCTAGGTACCAAACGTGCGAGGATGGAGTAATCGTTCGAGATATATTTTGGACTCATCTTGATTCTATAAAGGTTTTTAACACGTTTCCTACTATACTCATTATTGATTCAATATAGAAGATCAACAAGTACAAACTTCTACAATTTGAAATTGTTGGTGTTACCTCTACTGAGAATACTTATTTTCTCGGGTTTGCATTTCTAGAGAGTGAAAAAGAGGAAAATATTACTTGGGCTTTAGAAGTGTGTCGAGAAACGCTAGAGGAAAAAAGAAGACATGCTAAAAGTAATTGTAACAGACCGCAATACCGCTTTGATGAATTTGGTTCTAAAGGTATTTTCTACTTATTGCGCATTAATTTGTATGTATCATATTACAAAGAATGTGATAAGTTTGGTTAAACCTGCGGTAGGGACAAAAAAAAATTAAGGGAGAAAATATAATAATTGTAAAGGCTAGCGTGATAGTGAAAAGAATAATGGATGCATGGAATGTTATAATAAATTCTTCTACAAAATAATTATATGTTGATGTTATACATTTCAGGAAGGTTTGTGAGAAATATTCAGGCTTGTTGAAATATGTTGAAAGTATAATTTTTGACCAAGTAAATGAAAAGATTATTTGTGCTTGGACCGATCAGGTTAGACACCTTGGAAATACAACATCTAACCAATTTGAGTCTACCCATGCGCCATTCAAGAATTAGTTGGGAAATAGTATGGATGATTTGTCTAGAGATTGGCACTTTGTGAACCAAATGATCCAAAATCAGTATAATGAGATACAAACATCATTTGGTGACCGCATCATAATGTTGAAACACAAATTCAAATACAACAATCTATATTATCAATTGGTCGGTAACATATCTCAAATAGGGCTAAATTTTAATTTTCATGAAGCCAAAAGAGATGAGAATGTTGGTTCTGATAGCTCAAAGTGTGGTTGCACACTTAGGAAAACGCGTGGGCTCTCATGTTCTTGTCTAATTTTAAAGAAGATGAAATTTGATAGCCCGATACAAATGAACGAGGTTTGCACTCACTAGAAAAGGCTCAGTTTTGATGATGATGGTGGTGGTGGTACGATGAAGGATGGTAAATCGAAAATCTCTATCTTGACTGAATGGGAAGTGATACAATAGAGATTTTTGAAAGTCGATAACAATATGAAACTGCACATTAAAGAGCAATGAGGAAGAATGCTTATCCAGAAACCACTAATTTGAAACCACCGTATCAATCGGTAAAAATAAAAGGTGCTCCTAATAACGTCAAACCATCACTAAGTGAAAATTCAACAAAGCTATCAACTTCCTATCTTGAACATGTTGACAAACGTTTTTGAATTCACCAACTCCAAAACCTTAAAAAGGTGTTTTCAAAGAGGCTCGCATTAGCAAACCACCTCATTTACTGCTAGGGATGGCAAACAAACCCGGGCCCGCCCACACCCGCCCGGGCCCGCCCCGAAATTAATGGGGAAAATCCGATTTAATTGGGTGCGGGTGCGGGTGAAACCCAGTTCTTAACTACGGGTGCGGGTGCGGGTAGACACTAAGACCCGCCCGCACCCGCCCCCGCCCTGCCCCAAATAATATATTTTATTTTGATTTCCTTATTTTATTTATTTTAATATTTATTTATTAATTATACTTTTAATTAAGTTATTAATATTTTTATTGCAATTAAAATAATAAAATTAATCAAGTTAATATTCATTTATTAATTAAAATTTTAATTAAATAATTAATTAATTAATTAAAATAATCAATTTTTTAATTAAATTACTAATTTTTATTATAATTAAAATAATAATAATTTTTTGCGGGTGGGGTGGGGCGGGTGCACCCGTTTTCTACTGGGAGCGGGTCTGGGTGGTAAATTTTCACCCCGATTGGATTTGGGGGCGGAGGCGGGTCTGTTACATGGAGGCGGGTGCGGGTGCGGGTATAGTTAAACTCGCCCCCGACCCGCCCCGTTGCCATCCCTATTTAAATGTTGATTTTTATGCACAAATACGTTGAACGTGTCGTCAATGTTGAGGGTGATGCTAACTACGGTTATCGAGTTGTTTCTGCTTTGCTCGTTAAAAGAGATGATGATCATCAAAATTCTTATTTTAATTAACTATTGTCTTTATTTGAACACAAAATTCTTATTTTCAAATGTCAAAATTTCTATTTTTTTTCACGTGTCACTATCAATAAAATACATATTTTATTTTAAGTAACAATTAACTTTATTTGAGACACAAAATTCTTATTTTCAAATGTCAAAAAAATTTTTTCTCACAAGCCACTATCAAAAAAATTTATTTTAATTAACAATTGTCTTTATTTGAGACACAAAATTCTTATTTTCAAATATCAAAATTTTTATTTTTTTTCTTTATTTCACGAATTTTTTTACTTTTTCTATGATTATTTAACATAATTGAATTTATATTATAATTATTCATTTATTTATTCATTTATTTATTTATTTATTTATTTATTTATTTATTTATTTATTTATTTGTTTATTTATTTATTCATTCATTTATTTATTTATTTATTTATTAATTTATTTATTTAAATAAAATTTATATCATATTAAATAAATTTATCCATACGGACGCACGAGTATTTTGCTAGTTTTCTTTCAAAAAGGGAGCTAAAACTTCACGACTTGTATTTTGGCAAAAATCATAAATTATTTGTTCAAAAAGTTACTTTAATAAATAATTGATTTCCTTCAAGTAGAAGTAAATTTCTAAATATCCTAGAAAGGCAATTTAAAGTTTAGTCAGGCTAGTTTTGCTGCTCCAATCTAAGATAACACAAATGACAAGGGGAACAAACATCCAATTGTAGTGAACAAAACCATCCTTCCAACAACAAACAGGGATAAAGTCGGCTACCTAAATCAAACTATGTATGAATGTTCTATCAAAAACTATATCATTAACTCATTGATCTCAAGATCTTTTATAATAGGTTCTCTTATACTTTTTAAAGAGTTCTTCTTTCCTTTTACTCACGACTCAAAACTCACAACTCTTCTCTCTACAAACACAAACCACATGTCTATTTCCACTATATTTTCTAGGACAAATGCTATCCCAACATTGTCTTTAGTATTGGCATTTATAATTAAATTTCTTTTACTTTTCACTAATTTTCTTTTCAAAATCCTATCTTGGCAGTTAAAAATTATCTACCTTTCTTCCCCCTAATAAGAGACAATGAAAAGCATTTCCCATTCAAATACCAACAATGTGCAAATAAATTCTTAATGCTTTCTATCTAGAAAAGCTAAGGTCTGGGGCGCATGTTCACTCTACACAAAATATGGCATTAAATCAAACAAGACAGACAATCCATATAAATTTAGTTTACAGCGAATATACAAAATAATAATATCAAAAGAACTAACAAATATACACAACTCTTGGGTTGTCCCTAATGCTTTCTTGAGAAACAACTAGGTATTTCTACCTAGTCCCATTAACATTGTCTCTTAAAACGATGGCTCTCTCCCAACAAAAGGATGCACATAGCTGGGGGCTGACATCATCAAAGATCCGTTTGATGATCATTATCGTTGTCACCTTCATAATATTCATCATCCCGCTGGATCTGCTTGTCTTGAGTGTGCTCTGGAAAGAGAATTATCAAAATCATTAAACAAATGTATAGCACATAACAATATAGGGAATAAAGAAGAAAAAAAAGTTTTTCTCCTTACGATCAATGCGCTCATCAGGATTCTGCAAATCTTCGTTGAAATCAGGAATGTAGAAGTCAGGTGGGACCTGCGAGTAATCCACAAAATCTTCGTTGATCAGCTTTGTTAAAAGTGGTTTGATCATGATATCAAAGGAGGTTGAATTCAAACCAACCATAGTCCAAATAAAATGAACCTCTCAAAAGCAAATAACTGATATGTTGACGTTAATAAAAATAGGAAATTTGGAGAGCAAATACTTGCAGGATGCGTCTGAAGTTTAAAAAACATAATCACAACTCAGCCACAACAAATTTATGCCTACTCGGTATCCTCTCCCCTATTTTGAGGAAGAACTCACCTCTTGCATTTGCACACTCGGTGCATGTTGTATGCAGCGTAGATTTTCCAAGACTTGCATTTTTATTGTGCTAAGATATGATTTGCTGTTTAAATTTTCCTGATCATTTCAAAGAAAAAAACAATGAGACTATATACACATTTCACTGTACAATGCAATGCCTAAACTAAAATTATAGTAATATGTATTTAATCATGTATGTGGTTGGGCGTAACTCAACCCTACAAAAGCGGTTGGTAGAGTGAGGATTACCCCCATTTATAAACACATGTTCATGCCATATATTGTCCGATGTGGGACTCTTAACAATATCCAATGTAATTGGAAGAGTCAAAATCCAGACAGGAAATTTCATATCTAAATCCTAAGTCAATTTTAAAATTAAAGAAAAGTCTAAATAAATAAAAATAGTATACTGAAGACTAATGAGAAATACTTACTATGTGCCCATTTGGAATCTTCAATGAGAAGTCTGGTCCAAAATATTTAATATAATCATTCTCTGGAATCTCTGCAAAAGATAGAACACGCAGTTAAAAATGCCGACTTTAGAAATAATAAGACAATTTACATTTGAAATCCTGTCAACTCATTGAAAAAGAGATGCATGAAACTGCCATCAACTAAGCAACTCAAAAGCTTAAGCTAATAGATGAAAACATATGAATAGTTTATAATATACACTCACATAAGAGCACTTCCCATTTCAAGCGTGCACAGTGCATAGGCCATCCTATCTTAAGCTAATAGATGAAAACATATGAATAGTTTCTAATATATCCTCACGTAAGAGCTCTTCCCATTTCAAACGTGAACAGTGCATAGGCCATCCTATCTTATTATTTAGAAGGTGAGGGCCGATTGTTTTTATCACTTGGCCGTAGAAGCTCCTAACTATATCATCAACTGATTATCCCAGAAGCATGTGATGACAGATTACATAACCTATCAGAACATATACCTTCAAGCATAAGATCAATGAGGTTGAAAAAAGGAAGGGAATTAGAATCATGATCAATGACAATAAGGTCAGTGTGATTGGCCTCAAGTGGTTAATGAGCTTTAAGGAGATATCGTTCAGGAGAACTCGGGTTCAAGTCATGGGTGGGTTTTACTTAACTCCTGGCCAAACTCTGGATTACCAAGCCCCTTTCAATTGGGAACAAGAGGGTTTAAGACCAAAAAAAAATTAATGTCGGTGTTTTCTGGGCAGATATTGCAGGAGATAACGGTGAAGGAGATACATCATTAAGGGACTGCAACCTTTCATATGATATGCCTATAAGGGGGATTTGGTAAAGTTTTCTCCATCATTCCAAAGTGTAATGGGAAACCAAAGATAGTTTTGAAAAAATACACGACTTCACAAATCACAGGGCAGTATCTCTATATTTTTAAAAAAATATTAATAACAATGAATATTAAATCTAATTCATAAAAGAAAACAAATTTCAGTAAAACATGACAGAATTTAAGATTCGCGAAGAGGCTAATTAATATACCATTTGGAAGCTCTGTATCTAGAAGAACTCCAGTTTCAACTGCCCAACATCGAGCAACATTTTCTTTTGTGTATCCCCCGCCTCCAGTGACCTGTTGCAGAAATCCATTCATGTAAATCTCACTCATTGTACAGGTGAATGGAAGACAAACATAAAGTGACATAAACCCACCAGTAAGGGCAAATTAAATCTCTTCACGAATCTAACACACTCAGCATGGCCTGTACAATAGGAACCAACATTTGTGAAGATCAGAAAAAGGGTTATGACAGAATGACAATATTTTCACCAGAATAGGAAATTTATTGGGAAATAAGCACCATCAATAGAGAGATTGAAGCAACCCAAACGATCTCCAGCAAGTGAATCTGCTCCACACTGGAGAACTATTGCACCAGGTTGATATGTTTCAACTACTTTGGAAATAATCTATAGTACAAGAATTTCACAAGGTTCAGAGAACATACAATCAAGCCAGAAATAGTGTAATAAATGTCTTATTGAAGTTGCAATTCGGCCAAAAGAACATAAGAGCTGAACTCACAGTCTTGAAAAGTCTAGTGAAGCTAGAGTCATCAATTCCATCCTTGAGCGGGACATTTATTGCATAAAACTTCCCTTCTCTTTCTCCTATTTCCTTCAATAAGGTAAAATCAGTTCAAATCATTCCAATCCATGGATAGCTTGCAAAATGTTTCAAACAAGAAGGATATTCAATTTAGCAAATGCACATGGGGGGTGGGGGGAGTGATATCCCAACCTATCACAATTATATAATTGAAACATCTATGTTATGAAAGAAATATGGTGATTACCACAGCTAAAACAAGAAAACACTAAAAATACAAGCAAACAGAATAAAGAAATTCACCTTAGCATCACCAGTTCCTGGAAAGAACATATCTCCATACTTATGAAAACTGACAGTCATCACCCTGTCATGAAAAAATTTACCATTTAAGAAAATAAAGAAAAATAATGTACAATATAGCAAAAATATTGTCTGAGAAATAAAATAAAAGGAAAGTACTGTCTACCAGCACATAATTATACATTTAGAAGATAATGAACAAGACATGGTTGTTGTAAATAGGCCAATCAAATTGAATCGCAAGAATAAAAAGATTTACACAGCTACTATCCTATTCCTAGGTCAAAGTTGATAGTTTCTAAGGAAACATAACATAAGGTTTGTTAGACTAGTCATACTTATAAAAAAGTATAGTCGATAATTCAATAACAATATTGTTTTGATAACTTTAAGATTCTCAACAAGTTCATTTTCCTAAATCTGATCAGATATAAGAAACTAGCAGACCTGTCAGTAAAGTAGAAGGCTTCTTCTACACCATCTCCATGGTGCACATCTATATCAATATATAAAACACGGGGATGAAATTTAAGAAGCTCTAAGATCCCTAAAACCAAGTCATTGATGTAGCAAAATCCAGAGGCTTCACATTTCTTGGCATGATGTAGTCCACCGGCCCAGTTTATAGCAATATCACACAAATGGTTATTCAGTCGACATGCTGCATCTGCAGGTACATGTTAGTCAGCATAAATATGACAAATAAGGCAAGACCAAATTCATGAGAACCACAAATATAATTGAGAGAATATATGACAAATATATAATCATATGATATCTTATCCTCATTGCATCTTGAAAATTTTAGATTATCTTAAATTATATTTGAAGATTTGTTATCATAGTTGCTTATACTTCCAATTCGCTTTCTTATGTAATTAGGATTATGGGTCTATCCTTAGTATATATATAAAAACTACAAAACTTAGTGTTTTATTTAGTTTAGTCTCTATTCCTATTTTTTCTTCATACCTACAATTTCAACATAGTATAAGAACGATGTCATTCATCACAACTTATCCCACCATTATTCTGATGTACAAATGTTCTAAAATTTGGAACTCTACTGCAGCAACGTCAATATCTCCAAGATTCTCTTATCCTCGCCAATTTTGTTTGTGCGTAAATTTCGGTGACCATTGTTTCTGAAATTCTCTTTGTTAGTGGACTTCCCTGCTCACGGCTTCTGCAATCTGCTCCAAAGTACTTAGATCAATTCATCCTTCTGCTCACCACCATAGGACAACTTTTTTGGTGACTTATTTCTTACCAATGAATCATCAACCATATGATGATGCATAGGCTGTGAATAAAATTTACACCAGCCTCACATTGTAAATCGTACCAGCAGAGATTCCCCCTATTTCATTTGAGTCATGCCATTCATGACTTATCCATGGGTATGAATCGTGTCATTTGTGAATTATACATGGGTATGATGTACACCAGCCTCAGTTTCACTTTTTTTTAGAATCTGAAATCTTCTTGTGGTTCATATAGCTTCCAGATGCTGTTATTAGTCAAAAGGAAAAAATTTTGCTAGCCAAGAAATTTCCACTTGTGATCATTCCAGTAAAGTTTCTTCTCCTTGTTCATGCAACAATCCAATCAGATCTTCAGGCTGGCAACTATTCCAGCTATTCACTAAGTTGTATATCCCAGCTGTTGAGATTGTACTAGAGAGAATTGAGATTTCCATTTCTGTAACTGAACTCAGTTGGATTGTAAAAGTTAGTTACAATGAGTTGCACCTTGTTATTTATAGAGTAACAAGGTGACTGGTTACACTAGGTCACAGACCTTTATGACTGGCAACTGCCAGTTACAACATATTTAACCTAGATACAGAAATATGAGGCACTTTGGTAAGAATGTGCAGTTCTTTGAGAAGTGTCTGGATCCAAAGCAGATCAGCAGTTGCTTGAGCAAAGCTTCTGAATTCAGACTCAGTGCTGAACCTGGCCACTACTGGTTGCTTTTTAGACCACCATGAAATTAGGTTAGGACCAAAGTAAATAGCTGCACCTGAGGTGCTCCTCCTGTCATCAGGATGAGATGCCCAATCTGCATCACAGAAGACCTGAATGGATGGAGCAGTATTGAGAGGAAGAGGGAGAAGCTGCAGGCCAAATGAGAGAGTGCCTTTGAGGTACCTCAGTATTCTGTTAACACCTACCCAATGTGCCTCCAAAGGATGTGACATGAATTGGCAAACTTTATTCACAGAGTAAGCAATGTCAGGTCTGGTCAAAGTTGCATATTGCAGGGCTCCAACAACGGACCTGTACATATAAGGATCAGACATAGGAGGAGAGCCAGTTTTGGTGAGTTTCCAAGTGGACTGCGTAGGTGTGCTGACAGGTGTAGATTTCAGCATGTTAGTTTTAATGAGAAGATCTTTGATGTACTTGGTCTGAGTGAGAAGAAGAGACTGAGAAGTAGGCCTTTTAACTTCAATACCAAGAAAATAGTCTAGGTCACCCAAGTGCTTAAGAGAAAAGGCCACATTCAACTTTGAGATGATAGATTTTACAAGACCAGTAGAGCTGCCAGTAATGATGATATCATCTACATATACTAGATGATACACTGTGTGCCCTTGAGAGAAGTAGATGAACAAGAAAGGGTCACACTTGCTTGACTGAAACCTGAGTTGCACAAGTGCTGCCTGAAGCCTTTCAAACCATTGCCTAGGAGCTTGCTTAAGGCCATAGATTAGCCTTATTTAGCTTGCACACTAGATTAGGATTAGCATTCTCAACCCATTTTGAGGAAAGCATTATTCACATCAAGTTGTTGGATAGTCCAGTTGTGTGTTAGAGCAATAGATAAAATCAACCTTGTTGAATAATGAAAGAACAAGAGGAAAGTTTGATTGAATCCGTGTGTTTGAATTACACAGCGGATCTCATTATATACAATAGGAGGAATAAATGTCATAGTAATTACATAATATTCTATTTACATGATGGAATATTCCGATATCTAAGACTCTCCCTCAAGCTGGAGCATATATGTCATAGGAGAGAACGTGTCACCATAATCTAGGCCAAACATTTGTGTATAACCTTTGGCCACTAAACGTGCCTTGAGACGATCAACTTGTCCATTAGGCCCAACTTTGACTGTGAAAACCCACCTGCAACCTACAACAGATTTCCCAAGAGGAAGAGGAACAAGGTCTCACGTGTCACTGTTTTGAAGAGCACACATCTCATCAAGCATAGCTTGTTTCCAGGCAAGGTGAGATAAAGCATCACCTACAGTCTTAGGAATAGACAGAGGAACAAGGTTCCACGTGTCACTGTTTTGAAGAGCACACATCTCATCAAGCATAGCTTGTTTCCAGGCAGGGTGAGATTTTTATCTCACCTACAGTCTTAGGAATAGACACAGAAGACAGAGGAAATACAAGCATAATGCAAAGAAGACAAGCGATGGTAAGACAGATTAACATAATGAGGAGATGGATTACGAGTGGAACGTATACCTTTGCAAAGTGCAATTGGGAGATCAGTCTCAGGGGGTAGGGCCGGAGGAGACAAAGGAGTTGGATCTGGAGGGGAGTCTATGGTGATTTCTGCATTAGCTGATGGTAGTGGTAGTGATGGTGGTCGTGGTTGACACTGATAAACCTGCAAAGGAGCTGAAGGGGGTGGATTGGCTGGCAAAGGAGACAGAACTACGTTTGGTGGGGCAGTAGTGGGAGATGAAGAAAACATGGGTGATGGGGACTCGGACCCTGTAGACGTCCCAAAGTAAGGGATTGACTCAAAGAATGTGACATCAGCAGAGACGAAATATCGACGAAGAGACGAGGAGTAACATTTATATCCCTTTTGGGATCTTGTGTAGCCTAAGAACACACAGTTATGAGAATGAGCTGAAGAAAACATGGGTGATGGGGACTCGGACCCTGTAGACGTCCCAAAGTAAGGGACTGACTCAAAGAATGTGACATCAGCAGAGACGAAATATCGACGAAGAGACGAGGAGTAACATTTATATCCCTTTTGGGATCTTGTGTAGCCTAAGAACACACAGTTATGAGAATGAGCTGAGAGTTTGTCTAGCCCAGGACTAACATTATGGACAAAACATGTATACCCAAAGACTCTAGGCTGTAAGGAGTGAAAAGACGGGTGAGGAAATAGAATAGAGTGAGGGATCTAATTGTTGAGGACAGAGGATGGCATCCTATTTATGAGTAAGGACAGCATCACCCCAAAAATGTTGAGGAACATTATTGTGAAGTAAGAGTGTCCTAGTGGTTTCAACTAAGTGTCTATTTTTACGTTCAACGACCCCGTTTTGTTGTGATGTGTGAGCACAAGACGTTTGATGAAGCATACCGTTAGTAGCCATGAAAGTTTGAAATTGCGTAGATAAATGTTCTCGAGCATTGTCACTATGCAAAGTACTAATGGAAATACTAAACTGATTTTTGATTTCATTATAAAATGTTTGAAAAATAGTAAATAACTCAGATCGATTTTCCATTAAAAATAACCAAGTACATCGAGAATAATCATCGATGAAAGTAACAAAATACTTAGACCCTAAAGTGGAAACAATGTGAATAGGACCCCAAACATCCGAATGAACTAGAGCAAACGGAGACTTAGACCGACGATTGACACGACTCGAAAAAGAACTACGAACATGTTTTCCTATCTGACAAGACTTAAAAGACAACGTAGATAACTTGGAAAGGTTTGGCACCAACTTTTGTATCTTTGCAAGACTTAGATGTTCTAACTGAGCATGAACCAGGAGAGGAGAATCCACCACGGAACCAGCCTGTGCAGATGGTTGAAGAAGATAAAGACCATTAGACTCACATCTGGTGCCAATCATCTATCTCGAACTCCGGTCCTGCAAGAAAAAAGGTGGATAGTACTAGTACCCTGAGATTGAGTTTAGGAGCCATTTGCTAATGTGACAAAGGATAATAAACCAAAAGTAGAGAATGAAGAAAAAAAGGATTTATTACTAGTAATGTGATCAGTGGTGCCTGAATCAAGGATCCATGGGCCAATAGATGTGGAGTGAGAAAGACCAGCAAAAGAATTACTCGTGTGCGCAATAGAGGCAGTGGAACTAGCAACCTGATGCTCCTCATACCACTTGATAGAGTCGTTGAAGATAGCAGGTGAGGTGGCAGAATCAGTCGGAGTAGCTGCCTGTGAAGGTGGAGCAGTCTGCGCAACGTGAGCAAGGGACGTCCATGTAAAGCATAACACTGATCAATTGTGCGGCCAAGCTTATGACAATGATCACACTTAGGACGAGGCTTTCATGTCTTCTGAAAGTCGCCACGATCACTACCCTAAGCACGATTACCTCCCTGAGAAACCAAAGCAGATGAATCAACTGGTGTGGGTGCCACTCCACCGTCAGATGATGATTTTGCTGGGACACGTAGCAAGGTAGACCATGCAGTATCCAGAGTGGGGATTGTAGGAGATCTTAATATCTGATCACAAACAAACGAATACTCTGGAGGTAAGCCATACCGAGCTAGAAGCATGAAGAAGGATCGGCGTTGCTCAAGTTCCTTAGCAGTGGTGCCAGTCGGGCGCAACAATTCATTGAAATCATGAAGGAGGCCTTGAACACGGCCCAAGTATTCAGCCATAGAACCATCCAGGAGACGAGGGGAAATAAATTCTGCAAATTTTGACATACTCCATATAAGCGTTGTGTATCATTGGTATAAAGGATCTTAGCTTGTGCCCAAACAGAATCGCAGGTCTCATGAGAGCGAAAGATCTATTTCAAGGATGAACTAATGGTCGACTTAATGAGACTAGAGTTGGGCATCAATTTTCTTCCAACGAGCACTATCAGTGGCAGCCACCGAGTCAGCCTTCGCAGTGAGGTGATCTTCATAGGCTTGTCCCCGGAGCCATAACTTGACGTCAGAAGCCCAAGAATCATAGTTAGTACCGTCCAGTTTGTCAACGGCAAGAGTAGTGATGTAACTTGTGAAAATAGGGGCCTCGGCCCTTGGAGGAGGATTGGCAGCCATGGGTTCCAAAGACGGTAAGAGAAGTGACAAAAAAAACTGTAGATCCGAGAAGGAATAACCTAGAACACGTCGAAGCCTAAAGGTACGAAACGAGTGTAGATCTAAGGAGACGAGAGGCGGCCGCGGGAGAAGCCGGAAACCAGAAATGAAGCACGGTTACCGGGAAAAAAAAATTGGCGCCGATAGACAATGGGTCTACCGGGAAAGCACGGATTAGGGTTGCCTCTTGTTAGGCTCTAGATACCATGTTGAATAATGAGAGAGCAAGAGAAAAGTTGAATTGAATCCATGTGTTTGAATTACACAGCGGAGCTCATTATATATAACAGGAGGAATAATTACATAATATTCTATTTCCTATTTACACAATATCCTAATTACTTAGAGAATATTCTATTTACATAATACAGAATATTCCGATATCTAATAAACTTAATGGTGATAGGTTTCACAACTGGAGAGAAGGTCTCATTAAAGTAAAAACCTTCTCTTTGATGAAAGCCTTTGGCCACAAGTCTGGCCTTGAACTTGTTAACTGAGCCATCAGGGTTCTCCTTGACTCTGAACACCCATTTGCTGCCTATTGTCTGCCTGTGTGGTGGTAAAGGGACCAAAGTCCAGGTGTTATTGTTCATGAGTGCATCATATTTTGTCTGCATAGCTGTTTTCCACTTAAGATTAGATAGAACATGTTTGACTGTCCTGGGTTCAGACAAAGTGAGCAAGAGCTTGGGATCAAGTATAGGTTGAGAAAAACCTGACTTGGCCCTTGTCTGCATAGCATGACTGTTGACAGGGATGACATCAACTGGAACTGCCTTGGGGGAAATCACAACAGCAGGAGATGCTTCAGATTGAGTGGGGCTGGAGGAAGATGCAGATGAAGTTAAGTGTTGATCAAAAGTGGATTTATGAGAAGTGGAGGGAGAAGCAGTAGCTTCTGAGACAGAAGTACTGCCAAGAGAGGGTGTAGATGAATTGGTGCTACCGGTATTAAAAGCAGTGGCTTGGGTGACATCATCAAGATTAGGAGAAGCCATAGACTGTCCTGAAGGAGTAGTAGGTAAAGGAGAAGTCTCGGTATGAAGAGAAGCTAAATTGGAGTTAGAAGGGGAAGTAGGTGATAATGTAAGAGGGAGTGGTGAGAGAGATACAGCTGAGGAAGAATTATGGGTTTGGGTTACACAGTGATGGAAATTGTTTAGCATATGGAAATCTAGACTCATGAAAGAGAACATCTTTGGAGATAAAGAGTCTACCATTAGGAGCTAGACATCTATATCCTTTGTGAGATGTGGAATACCCAAGAAAGACACACTCTTGAGATCTAAAGTCAAGTCTGTGACTAGTGTAGGGTCTTAATAAAGGAAAGCAGGCACAACCGAAAACTTTGAGAAAAGCATAGTCAAGACTAGTGTTGAATAATAAGGAATAGGGAACTTGAAACTGTATTGAAGCAGATGGGAGTCTATTAATAAGATAGACAGCAGTATAAAAGGAAAAATCCCAGTAAGTTAAGGGTAGAGATGCTTGGCTAAGCAGTGTGAGACCTGTATCCACAATGTGCCTATGCTTTCTCTCTATGAACCCATTCTGATGATGTGTGTGAGGGCAAATGACCCTGTTTAGGATACCCAATTCAGCTAAGAATTTATTAAATGGCCTGAACTTTCCACCCCAGTAGTTAAGGGTAGAGATGCTTGGCTAAGCAGTGTGAGGCCTGTATCCACAATGTGCCTATGCTTTCTCTCTATGACCCCATTCTGATGATGTGTGTGAGGGCAAATGACCCTGTTTAGGATACCCAAATTCAACTAAGAATTTGTTAAATGGCCTGAACTTTCCACCCCAGTCAGACTGAAAAGCCTTTATGGGCAGATCAAATTGCAATTCCACCATTGTTCTAAACTGCTTGAATGTAAAAAGGGCCTCAAACTTATTTTTGAGAAAATAAATCCAAGTAAATTTTGTGTAGGCATCTACAAAAAGACATATAATATTTATGACCTAGAGTAGATGGATTGGGAGATGGCCCCCATAGGTCCCCATAAACTAATTCCAAGGGTTTGGAATGTGATGTGTGTGAGGGTGAAGAAGGAATCCTGTGAGATTTACCCATACGACAGGCTGAACAGAAGAAATCAGATTCTTTATTATATAAGGCAACATTACAACTTTGTAGTACAAACTTAAGAGCATGTTTATTTGGATGTCCTAGCCTGAGGTGCCACATGGCAATAGGACTAACATTAACAGAAGTAGTATGAATACTAGGCAACAAAGTAGTAGAACACACAGAATTGGCAGCAGTCTTGAAACTTGAGCATGAGAGGTTGAGTGAAGTAAATTCATACAGTCTATCATTTCCAACAGCACCTTGAAGTACCACCTCATGTGTAGCTTGAGATTTGACAAGGCACTTATCAGATGCGAACAGAAAATAAACACTATTATCACGACAAAATTGATTGACACTGATAAGATTCTTAGTGATTGAGGTTATTAGTAAAAGTTTGTTCAAGGTAAGAGGTGTGTGTGGATGTGGGTTAGACAGAATGGTGCTAGAACCAGTGGAATTGATAGGCAAACCTTGACCATTACCAATGAAAATCTGATCAGGACCTTCATATGGTGTCACCTGTTGCACATTCATATGGTGTCACCTGCTGCACATTCCTTGGATCATTAGTAACATGATAAGAGGCTCTAGAGTCAGGATACCAGGATGCACTTGGAGAAACAGATGGTTGAGAGTTAGCAACCAAAGCACTAGGTAAGGTAATTTGAGGAATTGCTCTACACGTGGAAGGAGGTCTGGTCTATACATTTGCAACTTGCAAGGCATAGGGAGTAGGAGAAGCAGTCCAAGGCTGAGGTGCATAAGTTGGCACAAAGTTGGTTGTAAGTTGAAACTGCTGATTGAACTTATGCCAGCAGTTGAGAGCAGAGTGTCCAACTTTAGAGCATACTTGACGCTGCACTGAGGAGGATCTACCACCTCTTCCACGACCTGAACGACCACCTCTTGAAGCTCTACCACCACGAAACTGCTAAGAATCAGTTTTAGAATTCTGAGCTGCTAGTGGAGGAACAGATCCTGGAGCATTAGAAGTTGTATCCTCAGAAGTGGAGCCAGTAGAAGCAGCATGTGTAAGATTAAGAGATACCAGATCTGGTGTTGACTGCTTCTTGAACCTGTTCTGACGCAATTCATGAGCAAGAAAAAGGATTTCCACTTCATCAAGATCCATTACACCAAACTTACTTTCAACTACAGAAACAACTGGAGCATCTGGAGCATATTCATTTGGTAAACCTTCTAAGATAACATCAATGTGATACGAAACTGGAATTGGATCTCCAATTGAGGCCAAAGCATCAACGATATTGCGAATCTTGAGCAAATAATCAAGAACAGTAGAATCAGCAAAAGTTAGGGCACGAAGTTCAACATGAAGCTGTCTAGCTCTAGCACGAGTTTGTTTCTGAAAATAGTTGAAAAGGCAATCCCAGAGTTCATGAGCGTGTGTGCATCCAAGAACACGTGAGAGAATCTCGCTCGATAACGTGGATTGCAGCCACGATAATAGCATCTGGTCCTTCTGCAACCAGCTAGTGTAAGTAGGATTGACAGTACCTGAGTTGCAAGCTTCATTGTCTACGAACGGAGGTGGAATACGCGAGCACACGGCGAACTCAGTGAGATTGTGAGCGTTGATGTACGGCTCGATCTGTTGCCGCCATAGATGGAAGTTCTTTTCGTCCAATTTGTGTGCGATCTTGAGTGCAAAATGAAAACGATGCACTTCGTCAGCAGATTTGGTTTAGTTCCAGTGTGTTCGCCCCGAAGAAACAAACAGAAGCCGCCGACGAAGACTCCGAAGACGGTGGCTCCGTCATCGCAGCGATGGATCGAAGGCTTAAACTAATACCATGTTAGAGATTGTACTAGAGAGAATTGAGATTTCCATTTTTGTAACTGAATTCAGTTGGATTGTAAAAGTTAGTTACAATGAGTTGCACCTTGTTACTTATAGAGTAACAAGGTGACTGGTTACACTAGGTCACAGACGTTTATGACTGGTAACTGCCAGTTACAACATATTTAACCTAGATACAGAAATATACTCTAATACCAGCAACCCTCACGGACTCACTTGTAAAGTTGTAACAAGTTTAGAGCTTACTGGGTTTTAGCTTCAATAGTCATAGTCATAGGAGTGTTACAATATACGAAAAAATTCTGTGATGCCTACATTGTATCTTAGAGCAGTCTAGAGTATCTTGGATCTTCTCTCAATGCATGTTTTCTATATTTCATGACTTGTTTCCTAATTTAAGACTAGGATGTTTTGGTGGAAATAAAGGTTAATGCTTTATGTTTTGCAACTAGTTCTTCATATCAATTATTAAATCAATATCAATTTCAGTTTCATTAGACATTTTTCCTCCTCCCCTACCAACATCCCAATAATTTCAACAATAAACATATTACCTATAGTTCCACCAGCATAAATCTGACAGAATTCAAATAAGTTGTCAAATACAGGGCAGTCTTCTCCGAGATTATCTGACAGAAATAATCAACAATAAAGGTCAAACTTGTTATGAACTAAACAATAAACAGAATATACTAATGTAAGATTACCACATAAACATTGGGATAGGAGAATGTTGACTTGAGAAGTTAGACATCAATTATATAAAATAAGGGTAATGTTAATTTCCCAACTTCCACCCCCTTTTTCTCCCTAAAAAGGTAAACTATGCTTACTTTCCAGTTTAATGTGCATAAAAATGTTTTAAATATAAAACCTTGAAGGCAATCAACAGAACTAACAATATGAAAGTTTTCATTGGTTTAAAGCTTAAAACTTAAAGACGTGAACAGAACTAACATTATGGAAGAGTTTTCATTGGTTTAAAGTTTAAAACTTAAAGATGCCGAACACAAGCCTAATGACTATAACATCTATGAAAAATTATACTGCGGATTTTTAGAAGCCAAAAGAAATTAAATCATATATACTCAAACTTTGGGCTTAGTTTGAAAACTACAGTGTCTGTAAAAATTGATAGACTTCCACTTTAGCTCTCTACTTTTCTCTGACAAAAAATATACTACCTCGGTCCTATTTATAAGAGAAAATTTACTTTTTATATTCATTGAACAATCAATGTATCTGGACTGCATAAGAACTTAATACATTGATTATTCAATGAATCTACAAAGTCAATTTTCTCTTATAAGTAGGACCAGAGGAAATAATAAACAACAATGGTTCTATCAATTTATCTTATTTAGTGTAAAAAAAAATATAAAAAAAAAACTAAAAAATCGTAGACATGTCCATTTAAAATTGAGAAAAGCATACATTTGGACAGTTCATCTGAGAACAAGTGCTGAGTGTCAGGTGTAATCCTGTGCAAAAACTCAACATAATCAGTGGAATGAAACTGGGCAAGCTCAACAGGATAAGCTTTGTGTGGGCGCTGCATCGTACGTAAAAAGAAATCATCAGAATAACATTATTGACACAACCCAGCACAACAATATAAAAATGGCAACAAAATACCAAACATGCAAATGAAAATAAACAGACGAGGTGTGTTACTGACATAAATTTCCATCTTCTTATGAAGATCATACGAGAGAACAAGATGGTGAGTCATGCAAAGGCGGTGAGGCTTCATGGGATGGTTCGGCCCAAAGTAAACACTACCCGCATCACCTGCAACATTAAAAATTTGAGAAATTATATTCAAGAGAAACATGCAAAAATAAACAAGGTCTGTGAAATACTTAAAATGAAAAACTAATGAGTACTTAAGAATGAACAGCTCCTCACAGAACTCGATTCCTATTAAAGGTACTACTTTCCTTGCCTAACAGCATAAAAATTAATAACATAAATGCAAATTGATTCAGAGTGACAGCAAAGTAACTAAAAAGTCTATTACATTTTTGGTCTTTGTAGTTTGACAGATGGCTGATTTTGGTCAATACAGCAACAATTACTTAAATGAAGTTAACATATTTTTCTTATCAGTGAAATGTGACCATTATTGTTACTCTATCCAATTTTATGGAAAATGGATGATCTCCTTCCATCCATCCTCTCCATAAAAAGAGTATAAGGGGAGACATAGGAGGATTAAAAACAGGCTCATATGACATGACATGCATAGTTCATTGAAAGAAGGAATCCATACTATCTTTTTATATGTAATAACAGTCTCAGATGCCAGAACAGTCGACTATGTGGCATGTCATGTCCATCCAGAGTAGCTGCCGTATCATCACAAAATGCCATCTGCCGTTAGCTCGTTCAATTAGACATAGCTTTATCAATTTAACTGGATTTCAATCATTTGAAAAGTATGAGAACATATGAACCACCGACATAGTCACAAACACCAGATGCTGACATAAACACAAAAAAGGTCACTAACACGTCTGAAATTGTTTGTAGGTGTCGTGTTAGTGTAAGACACTAACACGTGTCGGACATCGAATATGCCTATCGGCTATGATCTAAATTCTAAAGTGTTGGTATTACATGAATGAGAATCTCTGAAACACTGACACCTTTGAAAAAATGTGTATCTGTGTCAACGTATGTGTCAAAAACCGACACTTGTGAATTCGTTTAATATATTCATTTCTTCTATTTATTACAGGTATCGATGTATCAGTGTCTGTCGGTGTCATGTTTGTGCTGTCTATACTTCATAGATGAGAAACTTATTCATCATTCGTGCAATTGATTTAGAGAGACCAAAACCATTTGTCAGTAAAAAAATTGCAAGTAATCCCAAAAAAATAAATGCAACGACCTAATTTCCACACAACTGCAAATTCCAAAAACATAAAAAGCCTTAAAGTTCAGCCAAACAAGAACTGGAATCTGAAATCTATTTAACCACTGCAGAACCAAACACAAAAAAAATAAAAATAAAAAATAAAAATAGTGCTAAACGCAACTTTCACTCCTTACCAGCAGATGAATAAAGCTAGGGTTTCAACATGCAAAAAAATAAACAGCTACAAATTTTGAAGATCTCTTGGTTTTCGCCAAATAAGAACCGGAGTAAAAAAACGAAGGAAGCTATAAAAGTGAATGTGAATAACGAAAAGAACGAAAACGCACCGTCGTAAAAGTAAGCGATTCTGTCTTTGGAGCGCATGTTTGGAAGAAAAGCGAGAGAGCTGAAGAATAACGGTTGAGTGATGGAAAGTACGCACTACGGTGACATTAACAGTTGCCGGAGCTATCTCTGCGGCTTCTCTTGTATCCTGTCACGAGCCAACGTCAGGTCGACCCGTACTGTTTCTTCAACGTCGTGAAGGTGCTTATGTGAACTTTTATTTTTTTTATTTTATTTTTTTTGGGGTCAAGATGTGAACTTTGATTTATTTAATTAATATATAAAATATAAATGTTAAAGTGAAAACTTTATTTTTCATCCATTTTAATATTTTTTTTGCTCTATTTTAAAATTTATAAACTCAAAATTAATTTTATTATCTAAGAGAAATTGTAAAATTTAGTTTAATTTTTTGAAATATAAATTGAGACAGCTTACTCTCTGTATTATTCTTATATACAAAGGTTGTAAGAATGAATTGCTCAGTATCATATGTTGTTAGCCTTATGAGAAGAAAATGTATCATTTTCTCAATTTTATTTTTATAAATGTAATTTATTTTATAATATTTTATTCAAAAGGAATTTAATTGAAATGTATTGATAGTAGAAAAAAAATTTATAATACCAATTAATCATAATTGTTAAATATTAAAAGAGTTTGACTTTTATTTTAATCATTAATAAAATAATATTATGATGATAAATTAACGGTGTAAAATTTTTTATATTGACAATTTATAATAATTAATCTCATAAAAAATATAAATAAAAGTTTTGATTTAATTTTTATTAATAAAATAATAAATAAAATCTTTTCTATTATTAATAAAAAGCAATATTTATAAAATAGAAAAATAGTTTCTTTTTACTCATTTCTTAATATTATTTTTATAAACGTTGTTTTTTATTAATATTTTGCTTATATTATTATAAACTACTTTTTTATTTATAAAACATTGTTTTTTTGTTTATTTCATGGTCAAATTAAAAATAAAATCTTTTTCTATTTATTATGGTCAAAAATTTTATAAATGAAGAAAATAAATTAAAAAATTATTTATTATTTATTTATTTATTTTCTCTTTTAATTATATACTGTCAAATATTAAAGAGGTGAAGAATAAATAGTTAAAATATAAATTAATTTGTTCAAATTTCTCTTTTTTAAATTAAATTTATTCTTACAATTTGTTTAGAGTATAAAATAATGCTTTTAACTTATTAAAAAAGTGTCAATGAATTTATTTACTATTGTATATTTTTATTCTTTTAAAAAAAAATTTCTAAATTGTAATACTTTTTTCATCAAATCTAATTTCTTAAAAGACTTTTATATAGTTTATAAATATATACAGATGTATTTTTTTTCTCTTATATTTAATTATTTAATTAATAATATTTTTTTTTATATCAGTTTAATTGTGATTTTGATCTATTTATTTTAATCCATGAAAACTAGATGAGATCGGATTTAAGTCTAAAATACGAGATTTTTGTCCTCAATAGTTTTTTTTTTTAGAAATTAACTTGTCATTTTCCATATTATACCGGACACTAGGGGTGGACAACCGGTAACCATCCGATGTTACCCGACCGATCCGAAATGGATTTTGCAATACAGGTCGGTTTAATTCGGATGACGGATATTTCTGGATCGTTTGATTGGATATTAATGGATACGGATGGTCGGATTCGGTTTATAATTTGGGACCCGTCGGAATCTGAAACCGACCGCTTCTTCTTCACAAATACGCTTCTTCTTCACATCTCTATTTCACATTATACATTACACAAACATGCTTCTTCTTCACAAAACAGGGGTTAGGGTTTGAAGAAACCCATCTCAATTTCAATGGCTTTGCATAAACCTTTCTAGTTACCACTCCAACAACCTTCGATCGTCGTCGCTCTCCAACTTTCAGGTTAATTTTCTCTCTCTCTCTCTCTCTCTCTCTCTCTCTCTCTCTCTCTCTCTCTCTCTCTCTCTCTCTCTCTCTCTCTCTCTCTAAACTAACACACAAACCATCATCCTTGTTGGTTTTAGGTTAGGGTTAACGCAGCTCCATCATTGTCTCTCTCGGTACCGCCATCATCGTCTCTCTTAAGCTTTTGATTCAGTTATGTGACCATCCATATATTTTGTTAGATTATGTTAAATGGTGAATATTGATTTTTTTGTTGCCTTTCCATCTTGTTATATAATCAGTATATTTTATTGCAGGTTTATGTGTAAAGATTCAGGTTCACAAGGGTTAGCAGTATTATTGTTATTTGACTTCCAAATTTACTCAGGTGTTTATTCTCTTCAATGTGCATACTTCCTTATCTCTGAAGTTGTTTTCCCCTTTGTTCGCTTCCCTGTTCCATATCTTTGCATCTTTAACGTCAGGAAATTGTTGTGTGGTTTTTGTTTTCAAAATAACTGTAAGTTTAGGAAATTGTTGTAACTTGAAGTATGTGTATGTTTTGAGCATGTTTCTTCTATTTGTATTGAGTGGTAGTGACTGAGTTTAAATAATTATGATATATATATGAAGCTTAAACTCTAAGTATTTGTGTTAGTTGCTTATTTGTGTCTATGTTTGGTTATTCATTTGTGTTTATTTTTGGCTTTGCTTATTTGCTCAGTTATGGAGCAAGACACTCCAATTACCAATGAACATTCTCTAACCTTACCTAATGTACCAACAACCACAACACTTAATTTACCAACAACCGCAACACTTATTGAACCAACCACAAATCTTCTGCATATTCCTAAGAAAAGAAGACCTAATGCTAATGGTAATAGAAAGAGATCCAAGGTTTGGGATTGCTTTAACCTTATTCCTAATAGTGACCCCCCTACTGTTGCCTGTAAATACTGCCATTAAGTGTACATGTGTGACTCTAAGAAACATGGAACTTCAAACTTAAAGAGTCACATGAAAACATGCCCTAAGTATCCGTTGAACTTGTCAACTGACCCCACCCAAACAATCTTGACATTTTCAACAACTCAGGGAGTTGGGCTGGTTCCAACAAGTTCTAGGTTAGATCCTGTAGGTTGTAGAAAGGGGTTAGCTTATTTTATCATTTTGGATGAGAAACCCTTTATTACAGTTGAATGAGAGGGGTTCAAGTACTTTTGTAAGCAAATGCAGCCCCAATTTTCTATACCGTCAAGGAGAACCATAGCTAGGGACTGTTTTCAATTATATCTTGATGAGAAAGTGAGGTTGAGGGCATTCTTTAAATCTGATTGTAGTAGGATGGCAATAACAACAGATTGTTGGACATCTGTCCAAAATCTAAACTATTTGACCCTAACTGCCCATTTTATTGATAGGGATTGGAATTACCAAAAGAGGATTATTAGCTTTACCGTTATTCCAAATCACCGTGGTAGAACGGTTGGTAAGAAGGTTGAGGATGTATTGAAGGAGTGGGGGCTGAGAAATGTTTCTACCATTACGGTTGATAATGCGGCATCAAATGATGTTGCTGTTAAATATTTAGAGAAGAAAGTAATTAAGAAATATGAATGGACTTTTAATGGATGGGTTTGGGTTTCACATGAGGTGTTGTGCTCATATACTGAATTTGGTAGTTAGAGATGGATTAAAAGTAGCCAACACCTCAATTTCAAGTGTTAGAAATGCTATTAGGTTTGTGAGATCTTCACCCCATAAAGCTTTAAAGTTCAAGGAGTGTGTGGAATATGTCGGGATTACGTGTAAGAAGTCAGTATGTCTTGATTTTCAACTAGATGAAACTCGACATATTTGATGTTAGATGCGGCTGAGAAATTTCAAACTGCTTTTGATAAACTAGAAGATGGGGATGAAGACTATAGGGATTTCTTTGACGGTGATTCCCCCTAGTAGTCAAGATTGGGATAATGTTAGAGTTTTTATTAAGTTTTTGAAGAAATATTATGAAGCGGCAAAGGTTTTCTCTGTTTCAACAAAAGCAAGTTTTCATACTGCTTTTCCATTCTTAGTTGAAATCTACATTGAACTTAAGAAATTAAACATGGACCTTAATGGATTGTTTGCAAATGTGGCACGGGACATGTTGGAAAAGTTTTGTAAGTACTGGGTTGATATCACTAAGATGAACCAGCTCCTTTATTTTGGTATTATTTTTGATCCTCGGTATAAGTTAAGATATGTGGATTGGTGCTTTGATGATATGTATGGAAAAGATTCAGACACTAAGAAATCTGTATTAAAAGATATCAATGACAATCTTTCAAAGATGGTTGATCTTTACAAATAAGCCCATGACATTGTTGGAAGCTCAGTCACATCTGTTGCAGCTGCTGTTTCTCATGGTGAAACGACTGCCAACGACGAATTACCCACATATATAGCTAGAGAAAATGCTTTTCAGGAACATTTGATGTCTATTGATTCAGTGGAAGAAGAAACTGAGCTTCATAGTTATATTGCTGGAAAATGTTTAACTCTCAATGAAAAAGATAAAGAAAAGTTTGACATTCTTTGTTGGTGGAAACATAATGCTGGTCAATACCCGGGTATGTCCCAAATAGTTAGAGATATCATGCCTACACCAATTTCAACTGTGGCTTCTGAGAGTACATTTAGCACGGGTGGAAGGGTTTTAGAGGTATACAAAAGCTCTCTCAAATCAGAAATGGCTGAAGTTTTAATTTGTACTCAGAACTGGTTGAGACCTACCTTTTACCAATTCAAAGGCATGGAATTTAACGAGGATTATGAGATATCTGAAGATGTTTTACTAGGTATTGCGTCTATTTTTCTTTAAGTGTAATTTTTTATTCTGTTTGTAAAATGTTAAAGTTAAGGTTTTCTTATTATGTTTGTAATTTCTTATTATGTTTTAAATATATTTTAGTATTTACTGAAACTTTAGTCGGAAGTGGAGCACTATCTTCTTCTCATACTCAGTCACAGACTTCGGTCTGTACCTGAAAAACATATTCAGGTCCAATTCCCTTGTATTTTTGTTCATGTGTTTTTGTTAAATAAAACATGTATTCTTATGTTTTTCCTTATATTTGCAGCAGACACT